ATGTTCAACATGGGAGCAAAATAAAGAAATCATTACACTTAGCCATTGTTATTGAATGAAGTATTGGTGCAAGTGCCAGACGAGCATCATCACTGTAGATTACTACTGAGATACACCAGATATTAAAAATTATCTGGAAATGTCATAATTAATAATCCTGATGAACAACGAGTGGTGTGTGAGTCAGCATCAGCAGTGTGCCTTTGCAGCCATGAAGACAAACACTGTACTGGGCTACCTTAGCAAAAAAAGGAGTCAACAGGACAAGGGAAGTGACTGTTTCCCTCTATTGCACACCAGTGAGGTGACATCAAGAATGCAGAGTCCAGCCTTGATTTCTTCCCCAACCCAGTATGAGATGGGTATTTACAAACTAAGGGCCACTGAGATGATCTGGGGGTTGGAGCACATGATGTCCTGTATCAAAAATAGCGTGGCCAGCAGGACCAGGGAAGTGATCCTTCCCCTGTACTCTGCATTGGTGAGGCCACACCTTGAGTATTGTGTTCAGTTCTGGGCCCCCCAGTTCAGAAAGGATATCGAGGTGCTGGAGCAGGTCCAGAGAAGAGCAACAAAGCTGGTGAAGGGACTGGAGCATAAGTCCTATGGGGAAAGGCTGAGGGAGCTGGGGTTGTTTAGCCTGGAGAAGAGGAGGCTCAGAGGTGACCTCATCACCGTCTATAACTACCTGAAGGGAAGTTCTAGCCAGGTGGGGGTCGGTCTCTTCTCTCAGGCACTCAGCAATAGGACAAGGGGGCACGGGCTTAAGCTCCACCAGGGGAAATTTAAGTTGGATATCAGGAGAAAATTCTTTACAGAGAGAGTCATCAGGCATTGGAATGGGCTGCCCAGAGAGGTGGTGGATTCACCATCCCTGGAGATTTTTAAACGCAGATTGGACGTGGCACTGAGTGCCATGATCTAGTAAATGGACTGGATTTGGACCAAGGGTTGGACTCGATGATCTTGGAGGTCTTTTCCAACCCAATCGATTCTATGATTCTGTGATTCTATGATGTACGAGGAGAGGCTGAGGCACTTGAGTATGCTGAAACTGAAGCTGAGAGGGTGAGGTTAGATGAAGTCTTTGCTCTGTAAAGGCAATCTACAGAGTAGAGCACAAGAAAAGGGCAAGCGGCAATGGTGACAAGTTGCAAAAAACATATAGCAGTTGGGTAAATGAAAAAATGCTTTCAAAACATTTCTGGAACACACTGCCCAGACTGCACCATCTCCTTCTTTGGAGATCTTCAATACTCTGCTAGACAAGGTCTGAGCAACCTGCTTCAGCTTTGAAGTTCGCTCTGCTTTGAGCTGGTGCTGGGACCACCTGATCTCCAAGGCCCCTTTAAACCTAAATTGTACTGTGATTCTGTGATTCATAATGCTTCTCCCCAGGAAAAAGGAAATATGATTCACATTCTGCTTGCAAACAACAAAAATCAGAATCACAGAGTATTCTGAGTTAGAAGGGATCCACAAGAATCATCAAGTCCAGCTTTTAAGTGAATGACCCATATAGGGGATTGACCCCATGACCTTGGCACCAAGTTTTAACCTGAGCTAATCTCGAATACCTGGAGACCTAACAATTTGTATTAAAATCACACTTCCCTCAAGATCAGAATTGCAAGTACTTATAAGGTAATTGTGTAACAGTGTATCACATAATAAATGGCAGCATAGGCTGAACATAACACTCTTGAATGGTGAGACAAAGAACACTGATCTGACTGTGCCATACATTTACATAGTACATTCATTTTTTAAAAATGTTCAAAACCAGTTTTTGTAATTCCCAGAAGACTGTTTAGAATCTCTTGCTTTTAAAAAAATTCAGCTGTGGTTTTTTTTCCCCTAAACTAAATAACTTGTTTGTTGTGAACAAGAACGAAAATCCCAAGAGTAAAACTCAACAGAAAGAAATTTCACTGGGAAAAAAATCTTTGTGGTATCATTTGCCAGTTTTACGCATGACCTTTCAGACTTGGAATTTTCATGGACTACTATCAACCAGCCACATTAAAAAAAAAATCAAACCAGAAAACAGCATTATGTCATTCCTTCTACCAAAAACAATGCAGATAGACAAAGCATCAATAAAAATTAATCTTCCACCTCACTGACAGAAAATAACAGAAATTCATATTACTTGCTTTATGCTTTGAAATAATATGTGAATGACTAAACTTAGTGGTGCAGTTAAATATTGTCTAAATTATCTTTGCTCATCAATCAGTATATGACTGATTTAAGGAAACTGAACTTTTACAGTACACTTGGTTTTTCCACACCAAAAATGGTTGGATTCACTTTTAGCATATGATACCATTTGAAAATATTCATGATATAAAATTTTATTTCCATTACTGTTTTAATGAAAAATAGAATGAAATGTTAAGTAATTTTTAGGAATAGGACTAACTTCAGGATCCAGTTATTCCTGAAAAAATTGGATGCATCTGTAACAAGCACTTGTACCTTTCAGTTCTTTAACACTGTATTTGTTTATGCAAATACAGGCAAAGTCAAAACACAAAAAATTAAATTAATGCTTGCAAATCCAGACTCTGTCTATGGCTTAAAGCAGAGCTCTTGAAAGTACTACAAAATCTTTTCAGTAACATTTATGACTTCATTATACATTTATCCAAAAGTCAAAATCTGATGATGACTCACAATAATTTCCAGTATGTGCAATTGTTTTATTATGAAACTTCACCTTCAGAAATTGGATAATTTTAGCAGGTTGGATTCTCTAGTTCCATTTTACTTTCATCTCACAGCACCATCCCAGTAAAGGAGTGTATTGACCCACTGCAGCTAATGTATCTGAAATTTCTTATTTGATATAGAGAATAACATCTGCTCAAACTCAGGTCAATGTACCAAGCCACATGCACTTTTCTTACCCATGGTGGACTAAACTCTATGGTTGCAGGATCCCCAGGTCCACTCATAAGACTTCATTGGCACACCAAGTCTAATTTTTCAGGTCTTTCAGTGAGCAGGTTATAAGACAGAAGAATATAATTGGTGTCTGAGGAAGAGATGTATTGAGAAAGCATAGTACATCCATTCAGAAATGTGCATGTTGGTCTATGCCTCAAAACCACTTGTCTGAGCTAGGTATAGTGGTTACACATACAGTACCTGATATCACTTGCTGCAGGAATAAAATAAATAAGTAATTATAAATGAATGAGATGAAAACAAATATGCTTCAGTCTCTAGATTTCTGTGCCTCCGAAACACAATGTTAAAATCTGTAATTTTTTTTCATATTCAGGAAGACTGTCTTTTTATAAGTGAAAGCTGAATTTGTGTATTCCCCTTATGCTATGAACCAACTACCTAGTTTTTCAGGAAAGCATCACATACTACACAGCTCTCAATACCATTGCTAGCCCTACATTCTTGAGTACCTGATTTGCATAAAGCCTTCTCCAAAAGCTTTGAAAAATCCTTTTTTGACCACGCATGGAGTCAGCTCTGTTAAGAATGCTGGGGGCTCACAGAGCCTGTGCAGAAGGGTGTCTGGTGAGGCAGCAGGAGCAGGGGAAGGATGTATCTTGGACAGGAGGCTGCAGGAGCAGCAGGATGGCAGGCAAGGCCCACAGTGCTGAGCAGGGCTCGAATATAGGTCTGGATGGGGAGAAAGGCTTTGCCAACAGTGGAGTCACTAGGGCAAAGCATATGAATTGAGATGACTACACACAGGTATCTCACACATTAAGGGAGAGAAATAACAGGTCCGGATCTTCTGGCTTGCAGAGTCTGTGCTAATTTTCCACACAAAATATCCTTCAAGGGTGACCTGCAGCTACTGCAGCAGCTGCACAGCACATGGGTGCTCTGTGCAGCCTAGGGAAGAGCTCTATCCTCTCATATCCTAAACAAACCTTATTTGCTATTCTTTAAAGATTGTCTTCTGGTCACCTGGAATTCTGGAATCTCTGCAGTCTTCAAACTGCAATATTAAAAAATGGATCAATTTTGAACATGAAATACTGTATTGATTGATCTTATGCTTGAATTTTGCTGTACAATCTGTGTGAGTTTTCATTATAAATCTCATTTTGAAGGGTTTATGGCTAACCTGTTTCAATTCCCTCTAGACTTAAAACTTGTTAGATATGTTTTACACTGCGAGGTAAAAACTGTCTTGAAAATGAGTGAGAGAAATAAAAAGAGTGGTGTAATTTTCTGTAACAGGAAACACATTTTGAATCAAATTTATGAAAGAACTGGTATTTGACAGTCCTTATTTTTCATAGATTGGTATTTTTGAAACAGGAATTTAAATAATTTAAAATGTAAGAGTCTATGCACATCCTCAAGAAGCCACTTCCTACATGTTGGGTAAAAGATACCTATCGCTCAGGGCAAAATTACCTTTTCAGTATTATTGAAAGTGCTTGATATACATAAGAACCTAAGAGACTAGTTGTGAATTTCGCAAAGTCCTTCTTTGATGAGGTAATGGCCATGCAAAATTTCAGGGTATATCCTTATTACTTATGCAAACGAGAGAGCCAAAATGACTGAGGTTTTAGGAGAGTCAGGGTGGGACCTGGAAAGTATGCTCGAGTGCTCAGAAGCTAAGTGCAGAAGTTCATATGCAGTATATAGATAGTTTCTTTTCTACATAATGTGCTGTGCCTTGTTTCAGCCTTTTTGTCTGCTTTTCAGACTTGCTAGAACAGTAATACTCAGACCTAACAATTTATTGGCTCAGTCTTCATCAAATAAGTCAGGTCTCAGGTTAAAGTTTTAAGGATGAGGACTTTCTCTTTCCAAAAGTAATAAATGTAAGACATGAAAACACTCTCCTATTGTAAAGTTCTTGCATTTTTTCAGATTCCATTTCCTACATTTTTACTTTAGCAATTGTTTAGGCATATGGTGTGGTATACAGGCATATGAGGCTCTTAAAGTTATAGCAATGAACATGAAAATATCAAAGTCAAATAAGTTCCTCAATAGACAGTTTTGCCTACCTGTATATGACCAATCAATCTCTTCAATCAATTTCCGCTGTTGTCTGTAGTATCCATACACCAAATCTGCAAAATAGTAATGAATTTACAATATTAAAACCAGAAGTCTAACAGGAACTTGAAGTGTTGATGACATGCCACTCTCCAACAAGATAATCACTGTTTTAATTACTGATGAGTAATTTACTTTGTCCTTATCTTGGACCCCAAATGCTAAGTAGTGGCTAAACAGAATATAAATACCATCAATATTGTAGCATATTAAGGACATAAACAAAGCAAACAGAAGTGCTTTTCTATCCTTCCTTCCTTCGTTCCTTTGTTCCTTCTTTCCCTCCTTCCCTCCCTCCTTCCTTCCATCCCTATCTCATCACAACCACTCTTTCATTCTTCCCCTTTTAAAACTAATACAACTCCCCCATGAAGAAACTATGTTTTTTTATGTCCTTTGTCCTTTAGAAAGAACTATTCTAGATAACTAGGAATTCAATGAGTTAAACTTTTGCTTCAGTGTGGTCATGACTTTACATATTTTTTCTGACTTTGTACTGATACCATTTAAGGATAATGAAAGAAATGTTCTAAAATATAACTTCATTGTGGACTATCATCAGCATTATTGAAGGTCAAGTATGTGAAATTACTTATATCTCCATAAACTTTATGGAGACAGAATGTTAGACACCAGATACTTTTAAATCATGTTATATTTTTCTAGAGAAAAAAATCTATCTGTATAAATACTCATCAACTTATCCTGACTACTGAATAACCTTCATTGTTATTTTTATGCCAGGACAATTCTAGCAACACCAGTGATATGGACAAATAGACAACTATGCTCACTAATAATTATTAATATATATAAATTGCAGATATATAGGTTTTTTGAGACTGTCACTTCAAGAGTCATAATGTTAACTAGCTTCATTACTGTCCTACAGAAGTACAATACAACCTGTTTAAGAAATAGTTGCATATAAGCATGTTGAGAACACATATGGATTGCTTCCTTGAGAATGTGCCATAGAGTTCTCCTTACATTCTGCAATAAATAATTTAATGAAACAGTTTCATAACATCCACTTCTTTTTCTTTAATGCAGAAAGTATGTAGTCCTGATTACAGGATGTTAAATTATAATTGCTATTTGCAAGGTTACACGTTTATGTGTCTTACAATGACTTTCTGCTACCTATCTGAAGTCCATGTTTTATTAACTTCATCAGACTTCTGCCTACTCCATGCACTTGCCCTTAAATGTTTTTCTCTTTTCATTCTCCCTCCCTGCCAAAAAAATACCCCTTGCAACAGTTCTCGACATTCACTTAGTGACTAAGCTCAAACCTCACACATAAGTACCAGCACTGAAAAGGGATTTACATGCATCAACGTTGTCTTTGGGCTACATTTCCAAGTCAATGTGCATTATGCCTGTTTCTTCAATTAATTATGGAAAAGAAAGCTGTGTAAGTTGTGATTCACAGGTGTTGATGCCTCCAGTTTCCTTCTTTATCCACTGTCCTAATTGTTACTTTGCACAATCAGTTGAGCATTCACATGCAAACTAAGCAGAGGCTGGGCGTGAGAGCTTCCCACCACTTTTTTAATTCCACGAGTTCTGATGGACACAGAGTGATAGTTTCAATGAACAAGAAAAAAAAGGGCAAGGTTCACTTTTTTTGGTGCATTACACACTTATAGACTCAGTAAATCTCATGGAAAGTCTTTAAAAATTCCATGAGGTGTCAGGAGTTCATGCACCTTCTTTCCTCTGTTGTTCACCATATGCCCATAGCCTCTTCACAGCACACTCACAGCATGAACCTTCTTGTATCTGCTTGGACTGTCAGTCTTGTCTCTTTACACTATAAATTTGTGACAAAACCAGGGAAGAAAAGCAAATTTCGTCTGGGAATGGACTGAAGATTCATAGCTAGCACGAAGCTAGCAGCAGAGGTAGCAGAGGAAAGTTCTGTGTGATTGTGGGAGGATGAGCCATTCAGCAATTGTTCCCTTGAGCTGCTTGTGTAAAATGCCCTGGGAAACTCAATCGTGCATTCTATTGCTGAGTAAACTTTCAGTATTAACCAGCTGTAGAGACCAGCTGAAAGAAAATTATTTTATTTCATTTTAAAATTTTATTTTAGTTAAAAAATTGACATATTTTCAAATTTTGCTGATGGTATATGACAGCAGGTACCTCTGCTTAAATATTGTATTTAAATTCCTTGCATTTAATTGAAATGAATACGATAATAGTAAGAACATCTTCACGAAAAAGAAGGCAAAACTGATGCCAAATTTGTGGTTTTTTATGTAAATCTATGATACTTACTAATCTGGATAAACTTGAGAATCTGCATGACTCCTGTCATACTGACTGACATCTCCAGCCAGTGTCCGAAATAGTCTGAATTTTATTGAATGAGGTGCTGCTTTATAAAGCAAAAAATCCTTAATGTTCTCTTTTGTTTCCAGGAAGCTGTTGAACACATTTCCATAGATTGTTGATTTATTTATAGAATAGGGCAGCTGGGTTTCAGTATCATGTTTTAAACAGTTTTACAAGTTATCTTTCTATTTCTGTTAAAGAGACATGCAAGATATCATTAAATGCTTTCGTCCCCCTTTTTCTACCCTCATTCAAAGACAAACTTTTCTATCTGAGGATGTGAGATTTGTTTCCTTTTATATTCTGTCCAAAGACTGTGCACCCCAGTGCCCAAGGCCCACAAAGTCAGGAATAATGTGACAAATCCTCTCCTGCTCATGACAGGTAGCAGGACCAACTGATTTGTGACAGAATCTGTCACATGTTCAGCCACAAACAGAGAAGATGATCTCTGGTTAAAGCATAGTACTAGGAGTAATAAGATCTTGTAGATATATTTTCCTGTTTAAAAGGTATAAATACTCAGGTTTTCTTCCTTCTGACATGAGTCTGATATTCCTTTTGCACTTACTGATCTTGATTGAGTTGCTTTTGATTTTCCTCTGTGAATGAAACATTCTGATTCTCAATGCATAGTTATGCGTAACTAAAGGTGAAAAATGAATAGCTTTAATGATTAACAGAAAGAATTGTCTATGACGGAGATCCTCTTGATTTGATACTCTGTGCCAGGAAAATGAATAAGAAAAGAGGAAATGGGACCTTAAACCTCTGAATTCTGTTTTGTCCTTTATGTCCTTTGTGCCACAGCAGTGTCAAGACATACCAGTTGCGAGACTCAAGAGGAAAAGGAGACAACATCCTTATGGTTTTACCTCCACTCAGCCTGAACTTGTGAGTTGCACCTTCAGTGGAGCTGGCATGTATGAGATTCTGACATCAGAATGACTTACTTATGGGAACTGGGACACATTAAGTAATGTCAGCGTTTGTGGGATCTACAAACAGGGCACTGATGTTCTGCATGTACAGTATGGGTAGGCACTATGCATTGACATTACAAACACCATTTGGTCCTGGGAAGTCAGATATCATTCAATATATTCCTCCTGTCCTAAAATCTAAACTGAGAGCAAAGAGGATGGATTCTAAAGCCTTAAGTGGATAATGGCAATGGTTACAGTCATGGAGATAAAGGCTGTGTTGGTATTAAAACCAATGGGAATTCCAATTTACATGGGCAAGATTCAGCTCATGGTTCTTAGGCCACAAAAGTGCACAGGAACTCTCGAGATACCAGCAAGGATGTGAGAAGTCACTGAAAAATGTGGTAATTTTCTCTTTGAGAAATACAGAAGCTCTTGTTTTAAACAAACCGTGTCTCATGAGATCTCTTCTATATACACTGATATAGCAGTGTATATTACTGACTGCAGAAAGAGGAAGCAAGGAATATCAGAAGCTTACACAAATTTGGAAGTGATTTAAAAATCCATGAAGGAGAAATCCACAAATACCTCTTAAACACAGTGACACCACTTTTGGCTCACTAAGTCCACTGATGAAATTGGAAGGATTATACTGGGAAATTCTCATTATATATTTGCCCTATTTTAATGCACTCTCCTAGGCAGTTGTTACTAGTTCTTGTCAGAGACGGGTTATCAGGCAGGCTTATTTGTAGTTTAAGATACACGCCTCTTCATTGGAAAAGAATTAGGAATTTAGAACAAACTGAAAGGGTATGACAGTAGCAATGCTTAAACAAAGTACCTGAAAGAAAATCTGCACATGGCTAGTGGCTAAGAAGTAGGACACCAGACAAAGTTGCTGCAAAGAAGTCAAAGAGAGCAAAATGAACCATAAAAATGGCATAATAATAAATTCAAAAAAAGAAGTTACGCATGATTAAAAAAAGAGATGCTTGGTGCTTTTCAAATACAAAAAGAATACAACTAAATAGATCAGGGAGAGTTTCATTACACATGTTCTGCTTCTGAGAACCTTAAACAGAGTTAAAACTGCATGAAATCACCTCTGATGATAAATGAATTGTTTCTTCAACAATTGTAATGTCCTTATTTTAGCCTCTTCCATTGACAGGAAGGTCACAGGATCCACTTCTATACCTTTCATCGATCTTATGATGGTGTAGCTTCATTGCCTCCAGTGAAATAACTCTTGGTTTATACCAATGGAGGTAATGAAAAGATTCAGAGCACAACCTGCTAGTAGCCTTAAAGTTCTAACAGACAGTAGCTATCCCTTTAACAGAATGATCTACATTTGCCTGACTAAGGTCTCTCTTTTACAAATTTATTTAATTTTGTAATGCCATCTGTAAAATTCTTAAAAAACACAAAAATGCTTTAATAACCCACCTCTACAATTTCATATATTCTTTCTCCCTGAAAGTTGAAGTGTGTAAATCTTTTGTCCAGATGTGTCTGAGAACTCTCACACTCTTAGGGAAATTTAAAATTTAAAAATCCTTTCCCCCCCCCCCAGTTTCTTCTGTGTAGCTTTATTTCAGACAATGGTACGTGCTCAGGTGTATATAAAGAGAGTCAATTCCCTTCATTATGCTTGAGTGTAGGCTGCTCTTTCCAATACAGATTGACAAGTGAGACTTTTCCTGCACTAAATATAAAGCCAAAAAACCCTGTTCTTA